CAGCCTTACTGACTGTGTTGGCCTTCGTTGCCAGTCTACTTGCGGGGCGACCTGCCGCGGCCTTCGGCTATCTCCCTACCAACAACGGTGTGCTCCACATGACGAGCGCGAGCAGATTCGATTATCTCCAAACATGCATTTAGCTTTCCAGTAGCTTATCAGAAACTTCTTACGTACCGTACCTCCGGTAACGTGTGCTGGCAGTTGTGCGCTGGTGCACTACGACGACGACGTGAACTCAGGTTTCCACATGTATGGAGCTGAAGGCACTGCCCTAAACACTCAAGAAATAAATGGGCCAGCGCACTCTAGAACCATCTAGTGCCTGAAGTCCACCAAACCTGAAGCAGGCTCCGCTCAAGACATTGCGAAGTTCGACCAACTGGCAGATATGCCAACGCCAGGCAGTTATGCCGGGGAGGCCCCAGAAGCCGAACCGCCACAGCAAGACGGCTGGCTTCCCGCAGTCTACGAGGAATCAGAGGCGGACCTCGCGGCGCACATATATGGTAGCGCGGCATGCAGAACTACAGGACGAAATGGGGAACTGCTGGAGGCAACTCCAGTAGAGGAGCTCTATACTGTGCCCGCGCGTGATCTCTGATAACAGCGCGCTGGTCACGCTAGCTGAAGAACAGCAACGGCACTTGCCTACGTGGGATAACCCAAAGGACATCTACATCACCGAGGCATGCCATGCCCCATTGTGTTCCACGGGCGAAGATGACGGTGATGGAATAGACTCCGACGGGCACGGGCACTATGTATAACTCTGCTTTACGGCAGAAATGCCGAAGATCTTCTCATCCGTGTTACCACGATGCGAGTATATGCGACCGCAGCAGCTAAACGAGCTGTAGTCGTCAAGGAGGACGACCTTCTCACGGAGGCAGACATTCAAGCGAATCCAGTCAAGGTGTCGAAGGCCCTGTATACTGAACTCAAGACATGGTTTAACAACCAGTGTTTCAACGTGCAAGACGTATCCAAAGCGTCGCGGGTCATGATTTCGAGCTACGAGTGCAAATTGAAATTCGCCAAGAACGAAGAGTGCGAAATGGAACGCATCATCAGGTTGCGCCTGGTTCTTCGGGGCTCCATGGGCCTCGAAGCTTTCGACGTAGAAGCGCTCTCAGGAACGGCGCGGCGGTCGAGCCAGCAATTGCTCGCCGGGGAGGCAGCGCGCAGGAAGCAGTGGATCATTGCTTCCCTCGGCATCAACATGGCGTTCTTGTGAAGGGACAATCGCATCGAGAACTCGCTGATGCGACCAGCGAAAAGGAGCGCGTGGCGCGATTTACCTCGTCACCTCGTTCAGCACCAGTACTCAGATCTCTCCCGGGATTCGAGCACTACGATGAGTCAAGACACTTTCAACAGTACCTTAAACAAGGCACGGGCACCACATATGCACCAGGAGCTCTCGCATTGAAACTCATCGAGACCACGAGAGGCTTTGTGCTCAGACCAACGTCTTGCGACGAGGAGTTCGAGACGTGCCCTAACCTTCTCACTGCCAAACATCTTATGACGTAAACATGGGTGGGGCTGAGGGCATCATTGACGCATGCTTCGCGTGCGTTGGGGATGCCAGCGGGGAATGTAAGCTCAACAGACATGCGTATGCCAATTGCGCTGTGGGGCATGCCAAGGACAGCGACCGTAATGTTACTCTTGACCAAGGTGAACGTATAAAACAGTTCCGTCCTAATCAGCACCGCGAACTCACGGGCGCAGATACTGAGGCCAAAGCATTGAAGATGGTCGCTGACATGCTTGTCAGCCTCAGAGGTGCTCTGTATTGCGCCCTCATCACACAAGTACGGTTACTGGTATACGTTCTACCGCTACAGCGCGTCCAAGAACCGACCAACATGCAAGTTCGTCGATTCGACGCGATTGCCAGGAAATTGTGGGCCTGCCCTAAGAAGATCGTTTATACAGCGATGACACCAACGGGCGAGGCATATCTGCGTTGTGATTCCGGTCAGCGTCGCCTGAACGGCGATGCCGGTGACGAAGTCAGAGGCTATGGTATTCGCGGGGAAACTTGCTAAGGCGTGGACGCACGCCTGCTGGTAAGCCTGTCGTCCATCTTGTCGACGCGCATTGCAAGTCTCACCGCTTGCAGGTCCGCTCGAGCTACTCAGCTGAAACACTAGCATCAGCCCATCATTTGGAGGAATGCTATCCCGCGATTGTTACGCTACAAGAACTCCACGCAGGGCCTCTGACACCCACTCAATTGAGGGACATTCTTGAGATGGGCGGTTTCAGCATTAAGGCCACCCTGACCAGTCATGCGGAATTGTTGACGTTTCGCGTATCCCCACCAGCCCATCCAGAAACGATGCCAAGGGGAGTTGAGGTGATCAGGGAAGTCGGGGAGCATGCAGAATAACAAAGGGCGGGGGAAGCTGTCACGTACCCCAAGACGCGGAGGATGGAGAAGGAATCCTCGTCGGAGGGGGAGGGGGAGGAAGAGGAGGAGGAGGAGAATGAGGAGGAGGATTTGGAGTAGGGAGAGGACGAGGAGGACGAGAAGGAGGAGAAGGAACAGAGGGAGGAGAAGGAGGAAAAGGAGGAGGAGGAGGAGGAAGAGGGGGATGAGAAATTGGAGAGGACGGCGAACCGAAGAGCCAGAAACGTCTTAAATGCATTTTGGAGATCCTCTTGAGGCTTCTTGGGGGTCTCTTGGGAGCCTCTTGGAGGCCTCTTGGGCGCCCCTTGGGGCCGTCTGGGCGCCTCTTGGGGCGCTCTTGGGGCGCTCTTGGGGGCTGTAGAGGCGCTCTTGGGGCCATCTTGGAGGAGATCGATCAACGAAGGGGGGTCCCTAAGTAGCCTCCCCCCTCAGGAGCTCCAAACATCGCCTCTTGGGGCGCTCTTGGGGCGCCCTTGGAGCGCTCTTGGGCGCTCTTGGGGCCGTCTTGGGGCTCTCTTGGGCCTCTTGTGGGAACCTCTTTGGGCCATCTTGGAGCCATCTTGAGGCCTTGGATGGCCATCGGAAGCGAAACGGGGAGAAAACAAACAACATTGATTTTCTTAAGGTTTTGGGACGATTTTGGCCTCTTCGGGGCCTCCTTGGGGAGCTCTTTGGCCACTTGGAGCCGTCTTGGGGCCGTCTTTGGGCCTCTTGGAACCATCTTAGGAGCCATCTCGAGCGATCTTGCGCTATCTTGAGCCATCTTGGAGCTCATCTTGGGCTCTCTGACGCGCTCTTGAAGCCATCTTGGGGCCAAAAGAGCCGTCCGACCGCTCGCGGAACCCTCCGTCCAGGTCCAGGGGAGGGGGTAGGGGGAGGGGTAAACCCCTCCCCAAGGGGGAAGAGGGAGGGGTGGAAGAGGATCTGTTCTAGACCACCTACGCCCAGAGGGCTGGTGGGATATGTCTCCAAGTCCTTGTCAATCAAAGACTTGACAGAATCCGACTGACTGTACCCTCTTAAATCACACCAGTTGTATACGGCAAGTGATGGAGCGCGGTATCTTGCAAAGTGTGCTGTGGTGTGACACCCGCTATATGACTGCATATTGTCTCACCAAGGGGATCATTTACAAATATGATCTTACAAGTTATGGAACGAATGCAATCCTTCAAGCACGACTTTCAGCGACACGCTCCCTACAGGGCTGGCCAGGCGAATCCATCTGATCCGCCCGAAGAGTACTAAGCTGCGGGGTAGCCTGCTAAGGTTGAGCCCGCTGGCTGCTGAGTAAGGCCGGAGCGGACTCACGCTTCGTCTTCCCCCCTCGATTCTGAAGGAGGAAGGGCAAAGGCGAGAGGTATCGAGCGTTTGTCCGCGGCCGCTTGGGCTCAAGCGACCAGCCGCCAATTTGACCGGGTCGAGACAGAAAAGGTTTCACCCTCTCTTCTTGAGATGTTCCCTCGCCGCTCACGCGGCCATGTCCTACCTTGGGCGATATCGTTCATACGATACTTCGCTGTAGGCTAAGTATCTGATTGGGTCTCCTTAGTGGCTTCAAACTCTGTGGGGTTTGAGGGGTCCTGAGAGGTCCTCATCCTTTTCCTCCTCATCTTCCTTTTCCTCCACCCCTTCCTCTTCCTCCTTTTCGCCGAGGAGGAGCATCAGGACGCCAGCGGGAGTCGCAATGTCGGCCCCTTCGAAGACTGGTGCCCCCCTCGCCAAGTGGAGACAGCAGCGGGAATTCCCATGGTGAGGCAGGATTTGCAACGGCTGCGCTCGGCGCGGATCCGCGGGCCGTGGTCATGTTAAGGCTGAGGGGCAGGTTCGTCCGTTGCCTCGCATTCCTCCCTCCCTCTCCTCCTCGCTCTGGGAAGGTCCCCCTTTGAGTTTTCATGTCCGGGGAAAAAGTTCCTGGTGTCCTCCCTCCGTGCACTCGCCGTCGCCCGAAGATATTTCCCAGCTTGAAGTATGAAGCGGGGGCGATGTTTGCTCGAACGGATACGCCTACCCACCTTCCATCTCTTCATCCTGACCCCCATGCTCCTCGTAAAGTAGCCCCCCCCTCCGTACAGATTTCTTTTTCCTCTGCGCCTCTAGGCACAAATTTGGAGTTCGGGGGGCATCCCGCGAACTTCAAGAGACCGACCGAACCATGTGCCAGGTTGCTCCAACGTAAGATATCACAACTTGTGTGTTTGTGTGTGTGTGTGTGTGTGTGTGTCTGTTGCACCTCTCGTTCTTCCCGTGTCCTTCATCACAGTTCGGATGTCCTGATTTGTTCCAGTACGGGATTCCCCGGAGTCCTGATCCTTTCCGTTCCTTTCCCCAAGGCCAGGTTGTCATTGTGCGCCGTTTTTGGACCGTCCCAGGGCCCTGCGAGGGCCTCCAGAGGCCGAAAATGGTGACCGACTTCCGCGCTGATGTCTTCAGTGCGTTGGAGGCCTGGGTCATCCTCCCCCGCTCCTCGCACTTGGCCGTGCCTCGGCCCAGGCAGTCCTGCCAGCCGCGAGGCCCGGCGGCACCACCGGAGGCCCCGCCACCGCCTCCGGTGCCGCAGCCTCGCGCGCGCCGCACCATGGAGGGCCAGCAGGCCCGCCCCGCGGGTTTCATGGGCGGTGCCGCCGCCACGCCGCCGCCGGGGCCCGCGGCCAAGTCCGTGCTGGGGAGCACCGGCGCCTCCCTGGCCACGCCGCGGGGCGGCAGCGCCGCCCGGGCCGCCCCGCGGCCCGTGGTGGACCACGAGGTCTCCCGGGGCATCTCCCGGGTGGGGAGTGGCGCGTCTGCCAGCTTGTTTTTTTGCTTGCTGTTGCTTTGGGTCCCCCACACGGCGTGGTGGCCAGACCGCGTGGTGAGTCGGAGGGGATGCGGGGTCCCCGCACGGTTTGTGGGGCTCGGGCCGTTCTCCCAGGACGTCTCGGGCGACTGGACCCTTCAGGTTCCCAGAACCGTGCGGTGACGGACCGCGTGGTGAGGTCTCTCGGGATTTCGAGGTCCCCGCGCGGTTTGTCACCACCATGTTTTGGGACCCCTCATTTCCAGCGTCTTTTATTCACTGCGAGGGGTCTGGGCCCCAAGGTTTCTTCCGTTGGCTGCGCCTCGTCGAGATGTGCTCTGGGATGCCCAGATCGTCCCGGATGGCCGTCTGTTGCTTGAGTTGTGGACCGAGATCCAGCTGGGCATGCGGGGTCGGAGGATCGGGCCGCACCGCCGATGCCGTCGGCAATGCGGCGCGATCGGGAGCCCGTTCTTCTTCATGTCATGTCGCTGTCGCCGGTGCCTCGCCGATGCATGGGGATGTGATGGCGCGATCTTTCGGCACAGTCTGCTTTGGCCCCACTTTTGAGACACCTCCAGAGGTGGACCCTCCAGATCCGGGTGTCGAGGCCCTTGCGCAGCTCGAGGCGAGGTTCTACCCGTCCGCCGTCGCGCGGGAGAAGGTTCGGCTGCGCGCAAGAGTGACCCTTCGCCAGAGTGACCTCTGGGGCTCGGCTTTCTGGGCGCGGGAGGCCCAAACCGAAGCACGAAAGCCGCCGTTGCCGTATCCATAACACGGCCCTGCAAGCCGCGCACCAGAGGCCATGCTTGCCTGAGGGCCGCTCTTGCGTGCAGCCGAGAGGTGCTGGGTGAGCGGCGGGCGTACCCCCGCAAAGTGGGGGCGAGGAAGCCCGCGACGGGCCCGCTGGCGAAGGATGCTGGGGGGGCAGAGGAGCCCGTCCAGATGCGAGTGCCTGGCCTTGGGCTGGCTGCGCAGAGGCTCCTCAAGTCGACTTCGATAAAGCTCCCGGTGTCCGCGTACCCACTGTACGTCGAGATGTCTGGTCCGCACGGGGACCTCTGGCACAGGAGGTTCAACGGCGGATCCACGATCTCGGACCTGAAGAGGTGGGTCTTCGAGAAGCTTCTTCTGCCCGACTTCACGTACGACCTGTCATACGCCGAGCCCGGCAAGGCCGTGCTCGAGGACGACCTGCGGCTGCTCACCCTGGACGAGGCCCTCGAAACGCGGAATTTCGCGACCGTGCGGGGAGCCAGCGACGAGCTGAAGAAGGGTGTGCCTGGTGTGCACTCAGTCGGGACAGTGGATAGCACCAACCTCTACGTCCGGGTCAAGTGCATGCACTGCGGAAACTTGCTGAATAGCCTGGCGCCGAGCAGGAAGTTCAAGACCTTCGTCGACTCGTCGGAGCTCCAGCGCGAACAGCGAGCCGGTACCGTGGACAAGGTTAGCAGCAGCACGAAGATCCAGGGCGCCTCGTCCTTTCCTGACCCCGCCGACATCGGTGACATTGTCGAGGCGGCCATGGACAAGGGCGCGGCCGCTGAGGATATGCTGGCGGGCCTGTGGGTACGGCCAGACGAGTCAAAGCATTGCTTCTATCACACGAAAGGATACGAACTGTTTAAGGTCGCTCGGGAGTCTGGCAAGGGAGGGCACTCGTATCTCGCCAAGATCAGCATCAACAACCAGAATTTCCCATCTCTCATCGAGAAGCCTCTGGCGGGTCTGCGTGGTAGTGAGCAGCAGAAGCAGAAAGCACTCCACTAGTTCGCGGCATCAAGTTTCACCCCTCTCGATGTCTTCCCCTTATTCTGACGTGATCCTCCTGCCCTTTCTGCCAGAGGAGGAGGTGGAGGAGGAGGAGGAGGAGCAGGATCAGCAGCTATCGGGAGCCAGTGCCGCTCATCCTCCTACCCCTCCTCCTCCTCCTCCTCCTCCTCCTCCTCCTCCTCCTCCTCCTCCTCGTGCGCCAACCCCTAGGGTTGTCGCAGCGTGAGCGTGCCGGAAATCTGGCGTGATGCCACCACGCTTTGCGCCGCAGCTTCTGTTCTGCGCGCGTAGGAATGGCCAGTCGATGAGGGTGAGGGGCGGAGGAGGCAGAAGAGGAGGACGAGGAGGACGCGCAGGCGGAGGAGAGCTGGGGAGGAGGTGGGTGTGGAGGGTGCGTGTGCGGAAGAGGGGAGGCGGGAATGCGGAGGCGGAGATGGATGAGGATAAGGATAAGGATAAGGATGAGGAAAAAGACGAAGGCGACGACGGATGAGGATGAGGATTGGGATGGTAATTTTGATACTGGTCATAGTGACGAGAATGATGATGCTGATGATGGTGTTGATGGTGGTGGTGGTGGTGATGATGATGATGATGATGATGATGGTGATACTGATGCTTATGACGACGACGACGACCATGATGATGATGATGATGATGATGATGATGATGATGATGATGATGGTGATGGTGATGATGATGATGATGGTGATGATGATGATGATGTTGATGATGATGATGATGATGATGAGGGTGATGATGATGATGATGATGAGGATGATGATGCTGCTTATGATGATGCTGATGGTTTTGATTATGATGATGATAATAATGATGGAGACGATTACTGATGATGGTGTTGATGTTGATGTTGATGATGATGATGATGCTGATGATGATGATGATGATGCTGATGATGATGATGATGATGATGATGATGATGATGATGATGATGATGATGATGATGATGATGATGATGATGATGATGATGATGACGTTGACGATGATGCTGCTGATGACAATGGGGAGTTCTTGAACAGTAATCGCTGAGCGTTGGTGGGCCGCGCGGTGCTTGCGTCTGCTACCGCATCGGCCCAAGCCTTTTTCGGAGGCGTTCGCGTGCTGCCAAGCCCGCCCGCGACCTGGATGCGCCAGGCGGCACGGGGCGCGGTGCTCTTGGCGTTCCCCGTGGGCTCGGCGTGGCTCGGGCAGTGGTGGGCCAGCCGCGGCCCCGCCAGCCCTCCGGCCGCGCGGCCCGTGGCCGCCGCGCCGCCGGCCGTGGCGCCGGCGCCCGCTCCGCCATCGCAGAGCTGCCCAGCGGCCGCGCCGCCGACCCCCGCGCTGGCTGGCGAGCTGTGCGCGGAGCTGGAGAGGAGCCTGCCCTGGGGGGCTGCGGCACCGCTGGTGCTCCACGCGGCAGTGGTCTCGCCGGACCACGACCTCTTCGTCGAGTTGTCCAGCGAGGACAACGACGACGTGCGGCACTGGTATCGCGTGGGGCCGGGGCGTGCGCTCATCCGTGAGGACGGGGACATCACGCCAGCCGCTGGCGGAGCAGGGCTCAAGGTGTATGACTTCGCCGCGCCCCTCACGCCTGCGGAACCACAGGCCTTCGCGCAGCAGGCCGGGGTGCTCCCTGCTGGCCATGATGCTGCTCTCGCTGTCGCTGCGACGCGTCCTGCAGCTGGTGGTGAGCCGTGGTCGCCGCTGGCGGCGCTGGGGCGGCTGGACCATGCGCAGGGGGAGCTGCAGCGCCCGTGGGGGGCGGCGGTGGGCTCGCCGTGGCAGGAGGACCAGCAGGCGGCTTCGCCGCGTTGCTCGGAGGAGGCGGAGATGCAGCTGCCGGCGCCGGGGTAGCAGGAGGAGGTGTTGTCGGAGCTCTTGGCGAAGAAGCCGCCCCGGCCGCCCTGGGCGCACCCGCTGGGGCCGCGCCGGGCGCGGCCCCAGCTGGAGGCAGGCTGGCTGCCGCGCCCGCGGCCGCAGCCGGATCCGGCGCCGCCGGGGCTGGCGCTGCCCCCGCTCCCGCAGCCGCCGTCGCGGACGGTGCCGCTGGGCTCGCCGCGACGCTGGCTGGAGCGGGTGCTGGGCCGCTGGCCGTCGCAGCCGACGGTGCAGGTGATGGTTCCGCTGGCTCGGGTGATTGCCGTACGCTCTCGGTGCAGTGCGACATCGGCGGGAAGTGGCATCGGGCCCTCGCTTCCGGGGTCGCTTTGAGTCGGGCCGTCGACCGGAACGACTGGGTGGTTCCAGGACCGAGGGCAGCTCACTGGGTGACAAACTTCATGCTGGAGAATGGAGGGAGCGCGCTCGGGCACTACGTCCAGTGGAGGTCAGTCATTCGCCGGGGGCTGGATGACATCATCGTTTCGGCTCATCACGAATACTCGGAGATCTTCGACACGGCGCTGTGCTACAACCAGCTGGACCTCACGAGCTCTGCCAGCCTGGAGTTGGTCTCAAGACAACTTCAACTCTGTGAAGAATGGCACAGAGATCGCGTCCTGGGGGCGCGCGAGGACAACAACGAGCACGAAGACGAGGAGTACCACTTCACAGGAATGGCGACGACGAGAGGGCTCATGGTGGCCGCGACTCTCTCAACCTGGATCAGCGAGCAGATCGCTAGGGAGAACGCCGTGGCCAAGGAGAATCGCAAAGCGCGGGGGGAGAGACAGCTTGCCAAGCCCAAGGGGGCCAAGGGGCTCGAGGGGGCGGAGGGCAGCTGACCTCCACGACTGCTTCATCGATCGAGGCTGCCTGCTGCTCCCTGGTTCCGGGCGCGCAGGCTTTCACATCTTCGGCCGCAAGGAAATGGCGCGCCAGTGCGACATTCTTCCCCTTGCCTCTTCTCTCTGTCCCTTCTCAGACTGGTGCTGGCTGCCGGGCCGTCGCCCGTCGTGCTCACCGCCGTCGCCGTGCTCTTGACTGGGCCAACCACGCCATCCGATCTAACCCACTTGTTGGACGTGATTTGGCAGGCGATGGTGCCGTGAGCGCTGTGCAGCAGATGTGCCTCGAGCACCTGGAGCGCAGCTACTGCTCGGTCGGTTCTTGTCCTGCTCATGTACGTCGCCGCTGGAGCCTTCGTGAGGTCTGCGGAAGCGCCGCTATGTGCGGCGAGTGCGCTACAACCGTCGTGGCCTACAACACAAACGCCGTGTCCTGGCCGGCCGTGGGGGCCAGGCCCGCCTCCTTGGGCGATGCGCTGCCAGCCGAGCACCCTACCGGGTTGAGGGATCTGACGGCCAACGTGCGAAAACCTCCAGCTGCAGCGGCTGGCCTGCGGTCGGAGCTCGGACTTCTACGTCTTTATGTTGACAATGCACTTCGGGATCGCAGAGTGCATGGAGATTTTGTGACTGGACTGGTGAATCGTGACATGGCTCGCCTTGTGCCCGCCGAGGAGCTTGACGACAGCAATGCAACGGTGGGTTTATTCTTCGTCAAGAAAAAGAACCAGAGGCAGCGGATCATCTTTGACACCAAGTTGGCGAATTGCGATTTCACGCCGCCGCTGTCGACGCACTTGCCCTCGGCCGCCGCCTTCGCGAAGCTGGAAACGCTGGAGTGCGACGTCGTCTGGCTCAGTAGCGGTGGCATCAGCAACGCCTTCTACGCCATCGAGGTGCCAGAAGAATTGGGGTCCTGCTTCAGGGTACCTGCGCTGCGCGGCGGCGCGGTGGGCTTGCGGGGTTGCAGCGCTTCGACACTCTGGGTGCCGGTGCTGGCGGCGCTGGCGGCGTTGCCGATGGGCTGGAGCTGGGCGCTACACTTCTGCCAGCTGGTCACGGAGGAGGGGCTTGCGCGAGTCGGCCAGCGTGCCGAGGTCCTCGCGAGGGATCGAGAGGCCCCTCGCCCGCTGGGCCCGGGGCGCCCGCTGGGCGCGGCCGCGTGCGTCGACAACTTCATGGTCGTGGGCTCGCCGAAGCAGGACGTCCGCAGTGCGGGGCTTGCTGTCGCGGAGGCGCTCACCGGCCAGGGCTTCGCGATCCACGAGGAGACCAGTGGGGCCGCGTGCCAGACGGACTTCGTGGGCCTCTCGTTCGACGGGTGCGGCCGCGCGGCGCGGGTATCCACCAAGCGCGTTTGGTGGCTGCGTCAGGCTATTGAGGAGCTCCTGGGCTGTCGTACTTGCTCTGGGCACGTGCTCGAAATCTTTGTTGGCCATGCGACCTGGGTCATGATGGTTCAGCGGTCTGCCCTGTCGGCGTTCAGCTCCGTGCACGCCTACTTCAAGTCCAAGGGCGTCGAGGAGGGCGATTCGTGGCCGGCCGTGAGGGGGGGGCTCTGAACTTGCTGCCGCTGATGGTGGCTCACGCGGGCGCCAACTGGCACGGCAAGGTCACGGCCAGCGACGCCTCGCACTGGGGATGCGGAGTCTGCGAGCGCGAGGCGGCCGTGGAGGAGATCGCGCGCTGGGGGCGGATGGCTGAGCGTTGGCGGCACCGCCGGGGCGCCACGGCCGCTCGAGCCCGCGCCTTCGGGGGCGAGGGCGCCTCTGCGAAGCTGGAGCAGCTGCTGGTGCCAGACGACTTGCCGGACAGCTTGCGCCGGGCTGACGAGCGCGCGAGCGCCGTCGACATGGTCGACGCGAGCTTCGCTGCCCCAGAGGCCGGGCGTATCGTCGAGTCGTTCCCTTGGCGGGGCCCAGCGAACATATTGCGGCTGGAGGGGCTCGCTCTTTCGAGCTCGCTTCGGCATCTCCTTCGAGATAGGAAAGCTTTCGGACGTCGAGTCCTGCTCTTGGCCGACAACCTGGAGTAGGCTCTCGCCGGCGGGAGGGGCCGATCGTCGGCCTTCCAGCTTCGAGACATCCTTCGTGAGATCAGCGCCCTCACCTTGGCGCGCCGCCTCCACGCGCGTGTCCGTTGGACCCCGTTCGAGAGGAACCCGGCTGATTACCCGTCCCGAGGCTTGTATTACCTCGAGCCGCAGCTGGAGGGGGAGGCCGCCGAGGTGGGACCTGCTGCTGCGTGTGCTGGGCCTGGGGCGCTGCC